TCCCTTCGTCCCTCCTTCCTTCCTTCTTTCCCTAATTCCTTTTCTCCTTTCGCAATCAGCATTATATTCAAGACGCTTAACCCTTTAAAACAAATTTTAAAAGATAGTAATAATAAAAAATGATAAGCCAGTATTAATTAGTGTAGTTGAAGAGAGAGAGAGAGAGAGGGGGGGGGGGAGGGATGGGGGGAAGAGAGAAAGAGAGAGAGAGAGAGAGAGAGAGAGAGAGAGAGAGAGAGAGAGAGAGAGAGAGAGAGAGAGAGAGAGAGGAGGGAGAAAGAGAGAGAGAGGAGAGAGAGAGAGAGAGAGAGAGAGAGAGAGAGAGAGAGAGAGAGAGAGAGAGAGAGAGAGAGAGAGAGAGAGAGAGAGAGAGAGAGAGAGAGAGAGAGAGAGAGAGAGAAAGGAAAAGTGACAACTCCTCACATCTCGGGTAGGCGCCGCCCTTGTGGTTGCGCAGAAAACGAGATATTTTTCGGCTGGGTCGAGAACATTCGGTGGAATTGATCTTGAAACATTAAGGGTCGTATGAATTTGCTTTTTATTTTCACACACACAAACACACACATATACACACACACACACACACACACACACACACACACACACACACACACACACACACACACACACACACACACACACACACTCATTCGCACACATGAACTTTTTGAATGATATGTATTTCTTACATATACGTACGCGCATGCACACGTATGCATGCAAAGAAGGGTTGTTATTAACAATTAAGGTTATGAATACATGTTTAACCGTTACTTTCGGTTAATAAATTACAATGTGCATGTACCTTATCTTATGAATTTCCTTTGATTAACTCTAAAAAGGGAAAAAAATCCAAGTCAGATCCTTAGATTTAAACAGTATTTAGTCAAATAATTTGCATTATGTGTTTCTCCCCCCTAATGAGATTATATTTGTACACTTCAAGTAATCTCACCTTAAGATTAACATTACCTCTACCATATATTTTTTTCCTAGTGAAATCATATGTGTCCACTCCATACTGTCTAATTTTTCCTAATGAGATTATGATTATACACTTGACATAGTCTTAAGCCTCCTGGTCCCCTTCCCGCGCCCGCACTCACCCCTTGTCCTCCGTGCAGATGGTGAAGATGCAGGCGGTGCAGTCGGCGCTGGCCATCCGGCGGCAGAGGTCGCGGCGGGAGGAGAGGCGGCTGGCGAAGGAGCGGCGGGAGAGCCAGGGGTCGCTGTCCACGCCGCGCCCCTCGCTCGTCAGCCTGGACGGCCGCGTGTACTTCAACGAGGAGAAGGAGAACAAGCGGCTGTTCGGCCAGGTGACCATGTTCCACGTGGGGCTCGTGTTCATCGTGATCGGCCTCATGCTCACCATCACGTCGCTGGTGCCCGGCTACGTGAAGAGCACGACGCCCGAGCGCCGCAGCGACCTCCTGGGCACCGGCTGCTTCTGCGTGTTCCTCGGCGGCCTGCTCACCACCATCAGCCGCTTCGTGTCCAACAACGAGGAGAAGGAGCTCAACCAGTACATCAAGGGCCGGCTGGGGCGCTCCAAGTCGGGCCACCGGCTGGTGCGCGACGCCGAGAGCGGCCTGCCCACGCCCACCAGGGAGCGCCGGAACAAGCCGCAGCAGAACGGCGTCACGCCGCCCGCCACGCTCGAAACGGCCGGCAAGAGCGGACTCAAGCCGCGGCCGGAGGCCGAACGCAAGCAGGAGAGCCCGACGTCGATGACGCAGGAGCCTGGCGGCAGCTCGTCCCCCGTCAGCGACGTCAGCGGGATGATGTCGTCGGCGTCGCTGGAGCCCGTCCTCTCGCGCATCCTGGAGGAGGACGAGGAGATGGAGCCCGACGCCGCCACGGAGCCGCTGGACTCGACCCCCGAGTCGTCCCTCACACCTACCTCGCCGCTGGAGACTCAAGGACTACTGGACCGACACCACTCCACGCCCAGGAAAGGCTCCAAGTCGTCCTCCAAGAGCTCGAGTAAGAGCTCAAGACACTCGGGCGTGTAGACCGAGGGCCGACCCTCACCCCTAGCGCTGCCGCGGCGCCCCCGACCAAGTCCGCGCCCGCTGCAGCCTCCCTCCAGGTGCCCCCCCCCCCCCTAGAAGAGAGAAAAGAAAATAGGAAAAAAAGATATTTTGGGTGTCGCTGTTGATCGGCGGCACTTTTTTCCGACGCCTTTCCGAGCATCGGAATGTCTCCTTATCCAAAGGTGTCAAAAAAGTCTTCGTGTAACCTCTCCTACTTGTCTCCCAAAAGCTGATCAAAGAGATTGATTTACTTCACTTTTTTTAATCGAGGATGAGTAAGCATGTAAGAAAACACTATATAAGTTTCTACTCGAAGTGAAGATTATATTTTTATGTAACATTTTCGCACAACTTTTCAACTCTATTTTGGTAATGATTTGGACCAAAATTTGATTTTGTATAGTTATTAAAGAACAGACCTTGACACTCTCAACAACTTCCAGTAACTTGAGTTCAACACTAGAAAA